CCAAATGGTGTGATATTAGCAAAACAAGGATGCTATTGCAGTGACATAAAGCAATCTAGGACTGTATGTAAAAACACACCAGGTAAACATCCTTAAAATCTTCTTTATTATTCACTTTCAACAACATTAATTATTCAATCTTATGGTATGTTTAGTTAAAAAAAAACTAAAATAGCATTTTATCTTACATCTTACCATACCAGCATTATTAAACAAGCCAGAGAGTGTTAGAGAAAAAGAAGTTTAATTAGATTTACTGTAATCCTCTGGAGGTCATGTTAGCATGCCCAGTGTACACTGACAACTGCAGTCAGAAATAAAACAACTGTGGCCGCTTGTTTTCTCGCACCAATTAAAGGGCATTTTGACAGATCAGGGACTGCTAAGATTTTAAGTCTCAGTGAGGCTTTTAATGAAGACTCTGCCTTGTAAAGATATTTTTTACAGCAGTTTATCTACAGCAGTCTACATACAACTTAGATTTAAAAACAACCTGTAGAAATCATCTAAAGCACAAATGACACATTTAGGTAGATGCAGTTTTTGGTGGGACAAGAATAGTAAACCACCATCCAAACAAAACTGCATTGGTCTTGTGGCTAGGATGTTGGTTTACTAATACTACTGGCTGTGTGCACTATTTAATTAGTCAGTTTTCGAATTCAGAAATAAAACACATTTTATCATTCAAACAAACCATAAAATCTTAAAATCAATAAATCACATAACATTATTTCTATCTCAAATGTAAAGGGTCCTTAAGCTATGGAATGGTAGCATATAAATTAAACATCATTATGATTCAAGTTTGTCAATGTAAAGAGCCCCTAAATTATCAGAAGCTGTCGAAGTTGCTTCTACACTTTATAAGATTGAAGTTGCAATGGCAAGGTTTATTCTGTCATCGCACACAAAGCTGAAAAAATCAGCTTAAAACCTGTAGTGAATACACCAATAATTTCAGTTCTGATTCAGTGACTGTAATACCAGTTATTAAGTTAAACAGCTGCTATGTAACTGTCTAATAACCTAAAATATGCACCTATGATACCTAAAGGCTCTTTCATACACTCACACAATGTAACCATCTAAAATATCTCAGATTACTTTTTAGTAACAATGTTTTCCTGCAACTAATTGATCGTAACAGTCTTTACATGTGTGCACATACAGGCTGGTGGTGTCTGATTTAATATCAACAGACAGCAAATGAGCCTTACAATACACAGGCATCTGCAGTAGTACTGCTGTAGTACAGAGTGCATTGTATCGTTGTGTACCTTGGTGCTGATAAGAGATGCGTCGGCAAAACCCTGAAAAAGCTTGTTTTCCCAGCATTCAATCCTCATTAGGCTTAATCAATACTCCTTTAGTCCTTCAGCTTACTGACTCATTCCAAAATAACATTGGAATGGTAGCATATAAATTAAACATCATTATGATTCAAGTTTGTCAATGTAAAGAGCCCCTAAATTATCAGAAGCTGTCGAAGTTGCTTCTACACTTTATAAGATTGAAGTTGCAATGGCAAGGTTTATTCTGTCATCGCACACAAAGCTGAAAAAATCAGCTTAAAACCTGTAGTGAATACACCAATAATTTCAGTTCTGATTCAGTGACTGTAATACCAGTTATTAAGTTAAACAGCTGCTATGTAACTGTCTAATAACCTAAAATATGCACCTATGATACCTAAAGGCTCTTTCATACACTCACACAATGTGACCATCTAAAATATCTCAGATTACTTTTTAGTAACAATGGTTTCCTGCAACTAATTGATCGTAACAGTCTTTACATGTGTGCACATACAGGCTGGTGGTGTCTGATTTAATATCAACAGACAGCAAATGAGCCTTACAATACACAGGCATCTGCAGTAGTACTGCTGTAGTACAGAGTGCATTGTATCGTTGTGTACCTTAGTGCTGATAAGAGATGCGTCGGCAAAACCCTGAAAAAGCTTGTTTTCCCAGCATTCAATCCTCATTAGGCTTAATCAATACTCCTTTAGTCCTTCAGCTTACTGACTCATTCCAAAATAACATTACAGGTCGTTTGTCTCATCGTTGACTAGACTGCATTACGGTGCTTTCTTGCGCTCAGAGCAAAGAATGACACAGGGAGGAGAGAGAATTTCGGATACTGAGATTTCTACGTTGTAGATACAACTTTAAATATTTTTTGGGGTGAGAAGTCATTGAAAAATCAATGTCTGCTTCCTACAATCCATTTCAACCAAATCAATCATAATCTAGCCGGCTGGAAGGGGAGAGAGAGAGACAGGGGGAGAGAGCCAGAAAGAGCAAGAGAGAAAAATGCACACAATCTTCGTCTGAAATCTCTAAATTCTTAATCCATTCTCATAAAAAGCTCATCATCACATCATTTAGCCTGGCTAACGGCCTGTCAGTCACCAGGGGCCTCTGAGGAAGACTACCGAGAATATGGAGCCACAGCTGGGGGACCCAGTCTATCTCTGCCATATGAACACTTTAAAATTGACTGAGGTGGTAAAGGCTATCATGATGAGAATCAGCAAGTCGATTAAATCTGCTAGAAGTCCCTCATGGTATTTTCACACCTGTTCCAGGGGTCAGAAAGAAATACCAGAGTAATCATGTTTAAAATAAATGAGCTCCTGCATCAACATTCTAGGTGGTTTCAATAAAGAGTACTGACAGACTTAGATTGCTCTTTTAAAGGATCAGCATTGCCCCTTTTGATCTTGTGCCCTACTTACATAGATATTTGGATCATGGTTAGAAGAGCTCCATTACAAGCACCACTGTTATGAATAAACACATGGATGTGTATGCGGTCACTCACACAATCAAATGCTTACACTCATAATGTTGTATGGAAATGAATTGATATGAATATGCATATATTTCCCTGGGTTATGCATGCATTTTAAAAATTAAAGCAAAAATGAAATGCACATTTTTCATGTTGTCAAAAAGAATTGACAAACATTGATTGTAATTCACTTTGATATTTGCTTTCACAGTAGATAATAATTTGAACGTGTTTACACTTTCTGCACTCAATAGTAGACAAGTAGATTTGGTAAAAAATAGAATTGTTTTAAAGCATAAAAAACACCAAATGACTCAAATCAATAAAGTCATAATGAATAAAATGGTTTACTCTTTCAAATTGGCATGGATTCCATGTGCAAAGTGTATCACGCTATATAATTTCTAGTACAGAATATGAATATCATTTAAATATAAATTTATTTTTGAAGTTTCTATTGCCGTTTAATGATAAAATAATAATGATATTAATAATAATAATTAGTAGTAGTAGTAGTAGTATGTTGCTTTGCTACTTAGGGAATAGGGTTTACTTGTGCACATGTGTTTAATCATTTCATAAAAATGGCAAGGTCAAAAATAAATCACATCCATTATTCGCTACGGATCTCCCCAAAGCATTAGCGGCGGACTGTTTAGAATTTCAATTGGCTTCCAAGTGGCAAAACCCCTTAGCTAATACATCAAAGAATATTTGGCGTCAACTAATCGGTTTAGGGCAGATTTGGAGTGGCTAAAATCCGTTTGAGGGGGACAGAGAGAGAGGTACACGCTAGCGGCTGCCCACTGCTGTCTGGAGAGACGCGCCTAACCTTGTGCCTCAAGGAAACCTGTCATTCACGTTAACTAACTTTGTTTAACCAGCCCATTCTGCGCGCAACACCAGATGTATTTATCAGTTCACCTGCCGTTTGTAAATATGTGAAAAGAAAACTTGGTAGATTAATAGATTTAGTGTTACTTTTGCGCCATTTCCACTATTTTACATTATTTGGGTGGGCTATGTGTGGACATCACTTACATTATGAAATTTAATCATAAAAAACATTTTACATTACATGTAGCTTGTTCTTTTATTAGGTTGTTGAGCTCTAGTTATTTATTGTTGTAATGACGTGTGCAGTAAATATAAATAAAATCAGTTTTATCTTAATGCATTTTAGGTATATTTATTTAAATTAAATATTTATGATATATCTCTTGTTATTTGTTAGTATAGACTAACAATATAGTCTGCGAGCAAATAGAATAAAATACATAAGGATATTCTCCGCCGCTGAGGAATATATCTGTTTGAATCAAAGGGGCTTAGAGCCCCTGGTCGTGATGGATTTGCCGTGGTTTATATGGTCTTAATCTGTCTGCGCTTGGGGCTTTGGTGCAAAGGAGAAGAAGATCTGGTTTGTTCCGGGATCTAAGGCGAAAACTGTCCAGCGGACAAATCAGTTAACACCTGTCAAAAGTTACTTCTTCACTTTCTTACCGCTGAGACTTGATCTAAGCGCGCATACAGTCACTTTCGACTCTTTGTTTCTGTAAAATGAGGGATTTTTTTTTTCTTTGCAAAAACTATTGTGTAAAAATGTTTACTCAAGCTATACATTTATACAATGAGGCAATAAAATATATACTACCTCCAAATTATCCATGATAATTTGCAAACGCATGACAGTTTAAAGCAACACCAAAACATCCGTGTTCAGGTGACTTAAGGCACGATGGATCAAGCCTGTCGCGCATTCTTGGAAAAAAGGTATGTTTCTAGCTTGCAATGAGCGACGAGATCACACAAAACCAAGGAGAATGAAGAACTGCAAACAGTAATTGTAGCGTCTCCTGTCGTATTTGGCAAGCTGTTCCCAAGAAGATAAAACAGTCCATTTGTTATTAATCATGTGTGAAAATGAAGGCTTCGTGTATTTAGAAAACGAGGAAAGTTGAAGTTGACGTACTGGCTCGCATGAGACCGCCATCCAGGGGCTGAAGCTGCTCAGTCTAAGCCATTGAGGCTTGTTAGAGACAAAAATAGGGGGATAGCGGGGGAGATTGTTAGTTAGTGCCAGGGTACGAATGTAGAAAGAAAGAGAGAGAGAGAGCGAGAGAGAGCGAGAGAGAGAGTCGATTCAGGCTGAGCTGCTGTAACCCAGCTCCAGTTTGCCTTTCCTTCGATGACTACACCCCGAGAGGAGGAGCGAGAGGCTCATAGTAGGCGTCAGAATCCTCAATTTCCAACTTAGCATCCTGGCAGGGCACTCTCCGAAGCAAAGCCCCATCCGAGAGCAAAAAACTTGTCCCGCGCGCTCGGCATGAGAGTCACAGCGCGCGCAGAGGGTGAGAGAGCGCCTCGAAAATCCGCGTGTGAGTCTGACAACGACTGATTAACGAGTGTGAGGTCCATGCATTCGTCGTTCTCTTTAATTTCCATCTCTGATATCAACGTGAGGAGGACGGGACGGAGGTCTGATTACTCGGAACTCTATGAGCTAGCGCAAAGAGCGCGTGAGAGTTTGAGGAAGAAGAACTCAAGTGAGAAGCTTATATTTGGATCTCCACCATGGCGTACCCTCAGGGCTACTTGTATCAGCCATCCGCCTCTTTGGCACTCTATTCGTGTCCAGCCTACAGTACAAGCGTGATATCGGGACCCCGGACAGATGAGCTAGGGAGATCTTCCTCTGGCTCTGCTTTCGCTCCCTATGCCGGATCTACAGCGTTCACCAGCGCCTCGCCAGGCTATAATTCCCATCTCCAGTACAGTGCTGAAGCGGCCGCCGCTACTTTCACTTCTTATGTGGTGAGTGCGATATTCACGTCTTATTTTTCTACTTTTAGAAGTTGCCGGATACATTTTTACGCTTTGTTGTAATTCATATTGTGTTGCAAGACTGAGACACACAGTAATTATTTGCGCAACATCTGAGGTTTTATCAATCAAATATGCATTCGCGTAATTTGACTGGGTTTCGTGATATTAAATAATATATAGGCTATTGCAGTACATTTTTTTTAAACAATCAAAAAATTGTTCTCAAACAGACATTACAACAAAAAGGCATTTGATAATTTTCTCTGCACAGTAAATAAAGCAGTTCACTTCGAATTATATATGCAAATAGAACAACATAAAAAACACGATTTCGCGTATTTACTGAATGAAATAAAATATGTATTTTTGTTGACATTTGTGGCAACACGATTTCCTCAGTTATGTGGGCTGCAGGTGAGGAATATTCCTGATATCAAAAGGAATAAATTACCAGTTGTTTCCCATTTCTCTTTAACCATGTATTTAGTAAAATAGGCTAATTAAAGGAAACATGTTTTAACGGCTATTTAAATGTGAATTGCGTGCACTTAGGCCAGCCCTGGCGTGTACAACCACTGTCAGATGACCCAACATAAAGCTGCAACTTCTAATTAGCTGGCTAATCTGAAAATAAACATAGTCAAAAGTCAGTATAGCTGTCGAGGGGAGATTTATGATCGTTTACAAAGAGGAGGGATTTTGGATGGAAAGTTGTGAAATTGCATTTCACAATAATTCTTGCTGAGGGGAATGAGGCAACTGACAAAATTGAAATGATAGAATATGTGGCCCCGCGGCCTTGCGCTTTACTGTTTTGAATTAATACATTTAAAGTATGTACATGTGTGAGTGCAATAGTGTTTGTTTATGGTGTGTTTGCGTAAGTGACCTGTAACCGACATTGTGCGCAGGTGTCCATAAAGTTATATTTTGCTAATAAAACAATTGGTTTGGCTCCTTGCAGAGCTCCCCGTATGACCACACGACAGGCATGGCCGGATCTATAGGGTATCATCCTTACGCTGCTCCCTTGGGCTCGTACCCGTATGGAGACCCAGCTTACCGCAAGAATGCTACCCGGGACGCAACAGCCACTTTGAAAGCTTGGCTTAGCGAGCACCGGAAAAACCCGTACCCCACCAAAGGCGAGAAGATCATGCTGGCCATCATCACGAAAATGACCCTCACTCAAGTGTCCACCTGGTTCGCTAACGCCAGGAGGAGGCTAAAAAAGGAGAACAAGATGACCTGGACCCCACGGAACCGGAGCGAGGACGAGGAGGAGGACGAAAACATTGATCTCGAGAAAAACGACGACGACGAGCCAAACAAGCCTACGGACAAGGGAGACTCCACAGACACAGAGGCAGGTCTGTGGAAAAATCATAAATTTTTCATTGCAGTCGTTTCCACTCCGGGCGCAAAATTGATTGCTGGTTAATGGTGGTATATTATTTATAATGGGAGAATTGCTTTAAATAATAATCACCTTGAACTCCTCTAATTTGACTTCTTATGGACTGAGAATTGCTGGTGACGTATGGTGTTTTGCACTTCATTTATCTCGAGCTGCATAATAAGGACACAGCTGGCGCACGGCATCTCATTTATAGCTATAATAATACCAGCCATATTATTATTATTATTATTATTATTATTATACTACTACTACTAATAATAATAAATGTTAAATTACTTTTACGTTGCAAAGAAATAAATAGTAAAACAAAAAGTAAAACTAGGCATACACAACTGTTTAAAATGTGCATGCAATATTTTCTCTCTCAAAAATTATACATGTTATTGTTATATTGTTATAAATGTTATTGTAGACAAATCTTGCTTTATCAAATCTCTCTCTCTCTATATATATATATATATTTTTTTTTTTTACTTTCAGATCATAAACTCATTAACCCAGGGGAGCTACCAAGCGACAGGTTTAAAGACGAGTCTCATGCTAAAGAGCTTGATCCACCTTTGACAGACTCGGAATTAAAAGACACAGAGGAGCGGACGGATTTGCTCGCCGAACAAGCAAAACCCACCACCTCTTCTCCCTCCGTCCTACATAGTGGAAATGATCTCATTACGCAAGAAAAGCCCTCAGAACCGGGCCACGCCGCGAGCACAGGGAACAGCAACGTAACGTCTGTTATTCATTCTCCCCCTTCGGCACCCAAACCCAAACTCTGGTCTCTAGCCGAAATCGCCACGTCTTCGGACAGGTGCAAAGGGAGCAGTGAGGCTCCACAGGCCATGGGGCTGGGTCAAAGCACAGTCATAGCCAGCGCTGCCTCGCCGACCCGGTCCTCCCCTCAGTGCCCTCTCCCTAATAATACTGTCCTTTCTCGGCCTATTTACTACACGTCCCCTTTTTACCCGGGCTACACGAACTATAGCACTTTCGGACACCTCCACAGCAGTCACGGCACCAACACCAGTTCCACTGCACATTTCAATGGATTAAGCCAGACTGTTTTAAACAGAGCCGAGGCTCTGGTAAGAGAGAGCAAAGTAAGAAGCCAAACACAGGTAGATCATTGTAAAGACTCACCTTATGAGCTAAAGAAAGGTATGTCAAACATTTAATACCGGATTCATCGCCAATCACACGGACATTTATTTATTATTTGTGGTTGCTTAAAGAAGAAGCAAAAGACGACGCATTCTGATTAAAAAAAATCCGAGGACAATTATTTTCTGAGTAAATGCTTATCCTCAAAATCTTAGTTTCTGAATGATTCATCAAGAGGATGTAACTTCTAAGAATTGTCTTAAACGCTGCAGCCGCCTGAGTCTATTTGTATTAAAGACTAATATGTATATTTAATGTAGCATTTTGTATTTAAAATGGACAATACACTATCTTTGAAGTAAATTATGGAAAAGAAATGGTGTGCAGCGATTGATTTGGGAGTTTGCATGCATATTATTGAGAATTTGATAGCTGCACAATTTAAAGTTTTGGGAAAAGCCATTTGAAGACGGGACTTTATTTGTCGGTGGCTGTTAAGTTTTTACAGAAGTTTTTTTTCCCGATAGCATTCGGTTGGGGCAATGCTCATCTCTCTTTTGCAAACAGAGAGATGCCTCGAAGGATGAATGTTGACATGACAACACCGGCAAAAGTGTCGAGCAGTCATTTAACCCAATTACATTCCAACCGCGTCGTGTTATATGCAAAGCAATCAGGTGGCGAACTCCAGTAATGAGTTCGATTTTATGCCAAATTTAGACCTCATTACTATTTCCTAGGCGTGGCAAAGTGGTTAGAGGCGCGCGGCGATGCGGAGTGGGTCTAGGAGCATACAGCTCTGTTATATCATTAAATGGTAGGATAGGCTTAATAGTGCTTTGGATTATAGACGCTGATGGCTTTCAAGAGTGTAGCCAAGGTGCCGTGAAAAGCAAATGTCCCCCTGGCATGGCCTGTCCCTACTGTCCTGTACCTCTACCCTCGCCCGCAGGTAGGTGTCACACTTGCTCTTAATTTCGAGGCCTGACTCTTTAGGAGACTGTGAGTGAACCTTTTTCAAGAGGCGCAGATAACCTGGAGTAACAGATTATAAATAAGGTTTAAACAATTGTTTATGTGCTTTAAAAATAAAGATTTAAATTGTTTTAGTTATACATTTTATGCTATTTCAGTCTCCAAATTACAACACAACAAATCTATAACCGACTTAAGTGAACATTTAGCTAATTATACAACTCTCTGGAACAATTAAAAATCAAAATTTTTTAAAGTATGTTTTGTCGTTCGTTATATACAAATCAGTTGTATTATTTAACATGGTTCCATAAAATATAATTATGATTATTATAAAATGTTAATATTAATACAATTTCCTTTCTGTATCGAAGTATTGCCTACTTAAAATGGACACGGACAATTAAATTAAATTTTTTAGCACATCCTCTTCAAAGGACAGATATTTTCAGCCTTTAATAATAATAATAATAATAAATAATAATAATAATAGACGTGAGGACGGGAAGCGACTTGATTCAGCTGGAGGTCGTGTCATTAATCTCTATAGTTTACTTTGCGCACTCCAGTTGAAAAGTCCCCTGGGTTTCATTTAATTCCCTTGGCTCTAATGTCCTTCCCCGGCAGCAGAGCGAGTGAGGGGGGCAGCTATATTTAATCTCTCGGAGTGTGATGGAGCTGCCGCTGCACCACATCAGCCGGCTAAATAGCATAATTATGTTTTTCTTTGCTGAATCCTCTACGAGCTGAAGCATTCGATGCAATGCCCCGTGTGTGCATAACCCCTTCTATAAGTTTAAAAAGCAGCCATTTATATTCTCGAAGACAGATGGTTTAATTTTCCTACCGAATAATTCTAATAAACATTCATTCGCCTAAATTGTTACTTTTTTAGAAAATGTCCTCTCTTCTAATGCTGATATGCCAGGCTTAAATATTGAAATATCGATAATAATTTACGATCTCATTTTACACATGATGGAAATCAATTGGAAATTCCAACTGGTAGACGGGGATTGTGTAAAAGCTGATTTTTACGCATATATCCAGACACAATAGGGCGAGTCTTTTTTTGAACACACTGAAGATGCCTAATGTACTCTGTAAAGGTCGTGTGAACTTCCAAGTAAAATTTGCTTTAAGTGGCTATAATGCAAAAATAAAATCTATATTTAACTTTCAGAAAATTTCAAAGGTCAATCACTAACACGAGATTAAATCAGTGATTGTCTATTTTAATTTGCTGTGTTAAGGGTAGTATATTATAACGAAAGACATGGGATATTGTTATTCGCTCTATTGTCGTTAGTCTGCAGCCTTTATATTAAAATCGCACATACCGTAGACTATTTTAAACATAAGCTTCAATTATTTTAAGCGTGACACAATGTATTAATCCAGAAAGCTTTTAGATTCGGGTCGGCCGGTCCGTGCTTTTGTGAGAATGAATAACCGCACGAACTCCGCAGTGAGCCCACACGACTTTGTTCAACTTTTTTCTCTCTTTTTTCCCGCGTCTCTCTCTCTCTCTCTGTCTTTCAGTTGAATGAGTAGCAGTCTCATTGTTCAGAAGAGATCCACAGTCACTGTGTGTGCATGTCAAGTGAGAGCAAGTTCCCACGTGTACGTGTAAAAAAAATAAAGACCGAGACGAATCTAACTGATAGGCTAAATAAAGAAAAGTATATGCTGAAATAAGGTTTTAAAATGTAAATTTTCTGTTCTGCGAAGAAACTTCACAGCTCTACAATAAGTAAAAGGAAAAGAGTAGCATACAAAAGAGCCATGTGACCAGAAAGGACTTCATCCACGATTTTCCTTAATATTAGGAGGGGATGCGATGTAAATGTCCAAAATTAAAATGAGCCTATTTTAGTTATTTTTGGTTATAGGCTACATCTGGATTAATTTCAGGTTAGGTTCTAAACAATAAGCTATCTCGAATAAGGGTAGGGGAAAACGAAATAACAAAATTACTCAAACGAAATTACAATAGCGTTTACTGCAATAATTCCCGAGCGGTTCAAAAACACATTGGAAAGGCGAGTGTCGACAGGCTCCTTGCTAACAACTATTTGCTTTCATTAGAAAGGTGACATTATAGCTTATTCACGCAGCAGGAACAAGAAAAAAAAAAAACAAAGAAAAGAAAAAAGAAAAAAAAACTCTTATTGTCCGAGATGGACCAACACAAGTTGGGATAAATGAAGGATGCGATGTAAACTTTTCAAATTAAAATGAGCCTATTTTAGTTATTTTTGGTTATAGGCTACATCTGGATTAATTTCAGGTTAGGTTCTAAACAATAAGCTATCTCGAATAAGGGCAGGGGAAAACGAAATAACAAAATTACTCAAACGAAATTACAATAGCGTTTACTGCAATAATTCCCGAGCGGTTCAAAAACACATTGGAAAGGCGAGTGTCGACAGGCTCCTTGCTAACAACTATTTGCTTTCATTAGAAAGGTGACATTATAGCTTTTTCACGCAGCAGGAACAAGAAAAAAAAAACAAAGAAAAGAAAAAAGAAAAAAAAAAAACTCTTATTGTCCGAGATGGACCAACACAAGTTGGGATAAATGAAGTGAGACAAACTAACCAGCAAACGAATGACTTTTGGGAAATATATATATATATATATATATATATATTTATTTACAAAGCCGCGGACTCATAATGCAGTCATAAATCACTCATAATTCTTCTTACACAAAATCCCCTCCATTTTTACAGGCTACATTTCTAAATATTATACGAATTGTTAGTAAATTTGTGGGGGAAAATGCAGAACTGATACTCTAAAATGCAGTGTATAGTAAAATATCCTCTGGGTATATTTCCTAAACGTGTTTGCATATATCATTCAGCAATAGCATTTTCACGCTCTGCAACCTCATAAAACCAAGCACCAAATTAACATTTTTATGAACAAGATTCTGTTGCATCTCAACTTAATACATAATGATAAATATGAGTTTAAAACAGAAAATGTGATCTTAAATTATTCACGCGTTTAAAATTACACCTGCCACGTAATCGAGCAGTAAGCGACTGGGCCTCTCCAGAAAAAAACAGGTAAAGTCTATTGCGTAATCAGAACCTGTTGATATAAATCACCGTTAAAATGTACCGGACCAAGTGTTCCAAAAAAGGACGTCTGCATAATATCGACAGTCCACCTGATAACAACCAACTACTACTCGATCCCTCCACACTAACATGACTCCAGCGGAGTCGAATCAAATTCAGCTCGAATGTGTAAAAGGACACCCATTTATTTGACCTGCTTATAATATGCGCTGGGACATCTGTGCGAAGCAGCAGACCAATGGCCAAATTCAGAACTGTTTTTTCCCCTCTCGGTCTCTCCTTGAAGTGAACAATATGTCGGTTGATTAGGGCTAGTTAGTTTAGAAAAATAGAGAGACGAGCTTGAAGAGTCCTTGGTCGAAAGAAAAGCAACGATTTAAGAGCGGACAAAAAAAGAGAAAAAGAAAAAAAAACTGAGAAATAATCGCAAAAACTGTTTGTGAGGGAATAATTATTTTCAAACCATCCTCACCCTCGATAAAAGAAACCGAACTGAAGTGGCCTCTTGAATACGGCATGCTGGGAATACCTCCTCCCTTTTATTTAATCATCCAATCCCACTGAGGAACCTCTTAATTAATTATGGGTGCTAAAAATTCACACCAGCTGTTTCTCTCCTAGTCTCTCTTCACTCCGGGACGAAGAGTGTGACGCGGCCATGGGGCGTAATTTTCACAAATTAGCCAATTTTCTCCCCCAGAAATCGAGCTCCTGTCAGGGCTGTTCTGACATATATCATTTCACGGGCTCTAACGGCAAGTAAACGAGTGGGGAAGTAGAAGTAAAGAGCAGGTTTTCGGCAAAGTCACGGCCCATTCGACACTTATAAATCGTTCGTGTTAAAGAAACATTTCAGATAGGCAGACGTAGGCTACATTGTAAATTGAGCCAGATGAAGTGACAGGCTGTGATTTACTGCTATTTACCCCCACCTTAGCCTAGACTTCACCCACTGTTTTCCTATTGCCCGCGTGCGGCTCTCTGGGGAGAGATTACACGTGTCATTTTCAGCTTTCTGATGTTTTAACACACATATATATATATATATATATATATATATATATGTGTGTGTGTGTATGTGTGTGTGTTTGTGTCTT